GACTAAAGCAGGGAAAGTGGACATCTCTGTCTTGTTCTTGATCTAAAAGAAAATGCTTTCAGCTTTTCACTATTGAATATGATGTTAGCTGTGGTTTGTCATATATGGTCTTCATTATTTTGAGATGTATTCATTCCCTCTGTCTCCACTTTAATTAGTTTTTATCTTAAATGATGTTGGATTTTTTCAAATACTTTTCCTGCTCCTATTAATGCAATTATATGATTTTTATACTTCATTTTGTTTAGGTGGTATATCACGTTCATCGTTTTGTGGATATTTAAACAACCTTTTATTCCAGGAATAAATCCAACTTGCTCATGAAGAGTGATCTTTTTAATTTATTACTGAATTTGGTTAGTTAATATTTTTTGAGGATTTTTGCATCTGTGTTCATCAGGGATATTGACCTTTAATTTTCTTCTTTTGTAGTGTCTTTATGTGATTTAGATATTAGGGTAATGTCCTCATAAAATGATTTTGGATGTCTTCCCTTTTCTTTAATTTTTTGGAATAGTTAGAGAGTGATAGTTAGAGAATGTTTGGTAAAATTCACCTGTGAAGGCATCTGGCCCAGGACTTTTGTTTGTTGAGAGTTTTTTTCATTATGGATTTGATTTCATTAGTAGTTATTGGTCTGTTCTGACTTTCTGTTTCTTCCTGATTCAGTCTTGGATGATTGTATGTTTTTAGGAATTTATCTATTTCCTCCAGGTTGTCCAATTTGTTGGCATATAATTGTTCATACTGTTTTTTCTTATTACTATTTGTACTTCTGGGATATTGGTTGTCATTTTCCTCTTTCATTTTTGAGTTTATTTGGCTCTATCTCTCTCTCTTTTTTTTTTTCTCTTGATGAATCTGGCTGAAGGTTTATTAATTTTGTTTATTTTTTCAAAGAACCAACTCTTGGTTTTCTCGATGTTTTCTATTGTTTTTTTTAGATGCTATTTTTTTTTTTTTTTTAATTTCTGCTCTGATATTTCTTATTATCTTCCTTCTACTCACTTTAGGCTTTGTTTGCTGTTCTTGTTCTAGTTTCTTTCAGTGTAAGGTTAGATAGTTCATTTGATATTTTTCTTCTTTCTTGACGTAGGCCTTTATTGCTATGAATTTTCCTCATAAGAAAATACTTTTGCTGTGTTCCATAGATTTGGGATCGTTGTGTTTTCATTTTCATTTATCTCAAGTTAGCTTTTGATTTCTTCCTTGATCTTATTGTTTACCCATTTATTGTTTAGTAGCATACTTTTTAGCTTCATTGTGTTTTTGTGTGTTTCATTTATTTTGTTTTCTTAAAATTGATTTCTCGTTTCATACCACTGTGACTGGAAAAGTTGCTTGATGATTTTAATCTTTTCTAAGTTAATGAGACTTGTTTTGGAGCATAACATGTGGCATAACAAGTTCCATGTGCACTTGGAAAAAAGACCTAAAAATATGAAAATAATTAAGAGGTCTTAGACTACTGATAAGGTTTATAGGATCTCTCCACTTCCTACTGCAAAGAATGTCCTCAATTGTAGGCTGCACTAACAGAAGTAGTCTTTCTGGGGTAATAGAATTGAGAATCATACTCAATGGGAGGTTCATTTCACACTTTGGAGAATGGCACTCTATTGTGTGAGCCTCATTTGTAAGTCACCATAAGCATACTCAAAGAGCAACTGTGATTGCGATGGGACTCACATTCATGCCATATAAATTGTAAAAAGCCAGAGTACAGAACACAGCACAGAACAGAGCACAGAAAACAGGAAGAAAAATTTAGGTTTCTCGAACACTTGGAATAAATTTGAAATTGACCCGAGAGAGTACATCTAGGACAAATATCTGAAAGTAGAGGGCACATTTTTACTTGATATAAAGAAGCTTCTTTTGTTTTGTATTTGGACAACCTTCTTTAAAGATGTAATGAGCAGTTTAGGGGAACAACGAATTTCTGTCACTTGAGGCGTTTGGATATGGTGAATGTTGAAGAGAGTTTAATCATCAGCTGGATAGGAAGGTTTTACCAAACATTAATTCCCAAAGTCTGCTCCATGGACGCCCTGGGGTTCCTACACTTTTCTCTAAGAGGGTCTACAAGGTAAAATCTATTTTCATAATAACAGTAAGATGTCATTTGCCTTTTTACAGTGCAAACATTTGTACTGATGGTTAAAAAGCAGTGTTGGTATTACTGTTGGGGCAATCTAAAATCTGTTGTTGCCCCAGTACTACTGAGGGGTACCTCAGACCAGATTTGTGAGATTTAGGAAAAGTAAGATTTATCGAAAGTACATTTCAAGGGAGAAATGGTTACACTAAAGAGCTGTAATAGCCTGGAAACAAAAGGTATGATTAAAGTACACTCCAAGGGAAGGGCGGGTTACAGTGAAGAGGGCTGTGACAGCATAGAATTCAGGAAGTAAGCCTTATATTGTGGCCATGATGGGTGGTTATAGGGGTTATGCTAGAAGATTGGCATATGGTCATTTTGATGGACATTTGGCCGTTATATAACACTCTGCCTACTGCTCATGTGATTATCTAGAATTCAATCTGTTATCATTAGATTCATGAATTTCCAGGCATAGGCGTGATATAACAATGGTATATTGAGGCTAGGTCACAGGAAGGTTAGTGTAAGACTGACTATACAAGCTCTTTGGCTGGATTAAACTGGCTGGTATTTTATGACTTTTTACTTCTTTGTTTCTCAGGATGCCAGAGTAATTTATAACCTTAAAAATGGGTGTTTCAGGGAAGTCTTTGGAAGGAGCCTTTATTCTTTTGTTCCCCCATTGCTCATGTCTGCCTAACTACCTCACAGTAGGGGAAAATGCTGGTGCCTTAGTATGAATCAAGGCAGTGGCACCATGCTAATTAATCATTTTAGTTCTTCATTGACATGCACTTGCAGGAGAAAAAAAAAAAAGCCATCTTCATTTAAGAGGGTCCTTTATGAAGGAGCCGAAATCACTAATTTTATTAAAACTCAACTCCTGAGTACATGTCCTTTTAGTACTTCGTGGGACAAAATGGAAAGTACACGTGAAGTGTTTAAGCTACATAACAAAGTAAAACACTTTGATTAAAAGCACTGTGTGATTGTTTAAGCTATGAATTAGGCCTTTTTTTTTTTCATTGAACACCATTCCTATTCGACTGGCAAACTATGGTTATTAATACAATAAAACAAGCTAGCTACTTCAAGGAAAACAACTCACAGTGTTTGTTGCCAATGATAAAATTCAAGCTCTAAAGCAAAAATTAGAATTTTGGAAATTTTGTAGTTTCACCATGAGCTTGACAACTTCCTGTACTTAAAGCTTTTTCTGATAAGATGAGTAAGGTCTTTTAAAAATCAATTTTATTTTTAACATCATAAAAAGACATATGACAGTATTTGGAAGTTCTGTGTAACTCAACATGAAGAAGAAGAAAGGGCTTTATGGGACATAGAGGAGCCATTAGTTCCCTCTACTAGCCACAAAGCAGTGTTGTTTGAAGCCTTTATATAGTATATTTTGGTGTGGACCTCTGTGTCCTTGTCAGTATTCTTAACTTTAACATCCTTTTATAATATTACTCTCATTACTCCTTTGCCAGAAAGATGTGTTTGGGCATTATTAAAGGCCATCTTGTTACTTGGCTTTAAGTGATATTATGATATAATATCTCATTGTTATAGGTGGTAACGATAAGTAAATGAGGTGGTGTTTACCAAAATTCATTGGCAAGACCACAGTAGACTAGAGAAAGAAAGAAAGATTACCATGCAACTGAAATTTTAAAAGAAGTTTCTAAATTTGGGGGATATCTTGGAATATTTGCATTAAACCACCTCCTTTACTTCTTAGGATTCTTTTGCTGTTTTGCATTCCAAAAGTAAAATTTATCAAACCCTCAGAAGATCCACTGATCTGTCATCAAATCTTCCCCTATTGAAAAGAAGCTTTCTTTGAGGAACTAGTCTTAGTTAATCCCATCAACTGAAAATCTGCTTTTCAAAACAATCAGTGAATACAAAACAGAACAGAGCTTTGTTTAGAGCAATATATACAGTCTCTAGAAATCTATCAGGTTCTATCTTCTACAGCAGTTCTTGGTTGAACTGCTTTTCTGTTTAAGCAAAATATAATGTTGAAGGGATTTTAAGTTTTGAGGACTAAACTTAAGATATGGTAGTTTATTCACACTTGTTAATGCATTTGGAAAATGTAGTATTTGACCATTTTGAAATATCTTTGTGAATTCTTAAAAAAGACAAGACTGCAAATAAAAAACATCCAAATGTTTTTTAAAGAGTTAAAGAATAGACTTCTAATTCCCCAAGTGTATAAAGCCTTCTGCCTTATGTTAAACATTCAGAAGATCCTCTTCTATAAAGAAACAAGTTTAGGGCGGCACATTTTTAGCTTAGTATTATAAAGAGTTGAAAGAAGACGGGAAGAAAAGAAGCATGGTGACTTTTTTTGCGTCAAACACAAAATTCAACAGAATCAAAACCTTTTATTTGTTCCATGACTTAATAATTCAATTGCATTTTTCTTTCTCTAAGAAAAAATAGCCTTAAATGATGATTGCAAAAGTTAAATAAGTACTTTCTTTTCCCTTTAAAAATCTTATAACAAACCTTAGGATCAAATTACTTCCAAATTTAATTAATTGAATCCTTAAGAAATACCACTTTAAAATGAAATTTCTGCATTCTGGAGTGTATTATAAACAGCCAAAAATCAAGGAGGAAGACTGTATTGTTTTAAAGCATACTTGAATAAATAAATGTTTTGCAGATTACTAATGGTCAATAACATTATTTGGAAGATCTGTAGATGATCTGGTTTGCGTTATACGTATTTACACTTTAAAATGCCTCATGAATTAAGTCAACTTGTACTACAAAGAGATGCTAAAGAATATGAAAATATATAATTTTGCTATATTAATATCATCATTATCTGAGAGATTCAGTTGACCAGATTTTGAAAAACAGCTTGGCTTTTGATTTCCAGAGAGCACAGTCAGACGAACTGGAAAAAATCGAAAAACATGGCCGATCCTCCAAAGACAAGGAAAATGCCAAGTCTCTGGATAAACCTGAACAGTAAGCATACCTTAGGACCCTGTAGTGAGCAGCCAGTCTAGGGGTGGGCTCTTTCCTTTGGACATCGCAGTGTCTTCTGTGCATAATTGTTACAAATTATATGAGGGTAAAAACCTATTTATGTGAGTTATATTATTTCACTTAACTTGGCTTTATGTCCTTAGGTTCCTTTATGAGCTGTCACTAATTCCCAACTTTTCAGAGCGAGTCTTTTGCATATTGTTCCAGTCCACGTTTTCAGAAAGCATTTGCTCGATCCATCGCAAACTGGAATTGCTACAGAAATTGTGTGAGGTGGGTTCTAGAGTATAGAGAGCTGAAAATTGGATTTTGATATTTAATTGTGATTCAGTCATATTCGTATTTCAAAAAAGTTTTGTTTATTTTAATTACCCATACAATTTAAAGGATAGCAGTCCCACAGAAGAGGACATATTGAGCTTCAAGGACAAAGCAAATGTTCAGGCAGGCACATGGTCCGCAGGGCGGTCTGATAGACGTTGCCATGTCCAGCGAGTGGTAAATCCTGCCATATCCAGCGCGGCCCTGGAAAATAAACCTGAATGGGAACAGTAGGAGATTGAGAAAAGAAGGAAGACAGAAAGCTGGAATCAAGAGGTCCACTATCCACTGATGATGGAGTAGTGGCCCAGTTTTATTTTTGCAAGCCGCTTTTATACAAGAGCATACAATTGCTGGCTAAGATAAGATTATCCTCACCCAACCCACACCCTGCTATGATCTTTTGCATTTCCCTTTGCTCCCAGCTATGAGGGTAATCCTTGCCTGGAGCAATACCCCATTGTTCCCCTGATCAGTTCATACTTCCTCATTCTTAGGAGAGTTCATAGAGGCAAGGCAACCCTTGGTTGACCTCACAGATTTCAAAGACCTTGTCAGCTTGCAACCCACTCTCCACAAGATGTGGTCTTCACACATCGACCTCCAGAGACTTGAAACCTTTGTCCCTTCTGCTTCTGCCAAAGTAAAATTTTCACTTTTCACAGCCTTCTTATACATCCAATTTCCAATTGAATGCAATTTGAAGGCATCTTATATACTTTACTTCATATTTGGAAGGATCCCTCCAATTTAGAGGGAAGGATCCCTCTAAATTGTTAATGATTCCAACTAAATGATTTAGAAACAGCTGTATAGTTTAAGAGAAGATCAGTATTCTTCTGAAAACAAAGAATAAATGTTTGGCAGCAATTACCAACACTGACATTTAAAACAATTTGTCACAAATCAGTAGTAGCACTTGTTCTGGTTGTGGTTAATCATTTTAAAAAGTAGTAAGTTACTAAAGACACATTTTCAGAGGTCATGACATACAAATTCAAGTTAAACTTTGTGTTTTGAAAGAAGCAAATATGAGTTTTTCAGAGATAAATCTAAATTTGGAAATTAATCTTTGTAACTGTGTTTAGGTCTTTCATATATGCCAAAAATTAGGTATAGTTAGGATGATAGCGATGGCAATATTTTGTAGTAGTTGTCATATTGCAGCCTTATTTATTGTCCTTATAATTATATCATAAAAATTGCCTAGATTGTTATCTCTCAGCTTACAGAAATGCGCCTGAATGCTTGCTGGTGCTGCACCTTTGGAGGCATTCCTCTCTAAGTATAACTAATAATGAGCAAAGTGAAAGTTTGCCTATAACCCAGAATTGTTAGTATAATATGAATATCTGCAACTGACTTCAGATCATGTAAACCAAACTTTGCATAAGAGAGAAATTGTTCTTTTTCCTGTTTTACAGACATTAAAAAATGGCCCAGGGGTTATGCAGGTTCTGGGTTTAGTTCTTGCCTTTGGCAACTACATGAATGGTGGAAATAAGACTCGGGGACAGGCAGATGGTTTTGGGTTGGACATTCTTCCAAAGCTGAAAGATGTCAAAAGCAGTGTAAGTATTTTGTGTGAATGAATGTAGGCAAATTGAGTATTAGTCATTTTGTTTAGTAATAAGTTTAACTATGAACCAGTTGTAATGTTTCTTATGTTCCAAGGTCAAAAGTTTCTTCAATTTCTGAATTAGATAAAAGTAATCGGCATCATACATTTGTAATTTAGTGAATGTTTCCTAAAGTGAGTAGTTTTAAGTTCTATGTTTAATGAATAATTGAAACAGTATTTTAAAATAAAAATCATTATGTTATCCACTCTATCTTTACCATATCTGCTAATATTTATCCTTTTGGATTTTGAGGACTAATTAATTTCTATATATTAGATGGCATATTCATTACTTTATTCTTTCCTTCCATGTTAAGCAAAACAAGGACGAATGACAGTAGTTTGTAAATAAAATATAAAAGATTCTGTTTTTCTTCATATCACACTCTTCTTGATACTCATATGTATGGGAATGTCTAGCTCTTTTAGAGGTCTAATTATTATTTTTTATCCTACTTCTGTAGTTGTGTTTGTTTAAAATTAACATCTAAGAGATTATGGGAGTGTCAGTAGAAATCCAAGATTAAGGAAACAACCATGATGGTCAGAGTTACTGAGCTTGTAAACTTAGAAAATAAAAGAAATCTGTTTCTCTGATAAAATCTTCACAAACTGTATGGTGAAGGAAATTATGACTATATTTTCATAAAATTAAGCTTAAGACAACAATTGGCTTATAGTAATGAAAATATATAAAATTGTCCTTCCTAGATAACGAAATAATCTCTCTCATAAGAAAGAGACACTATTTTGTTTTGTTTTCTGTTGGTCAGCAACTTGTTTGTTTATTCATTTATATGTCCACTCATACATTCATTTAACATTCTTTCACTGGGCTTGTATGAAATGCCAGACAGTGAGCTTTTCCAAAATTGAGTAAAACAATCTCTTCTTGGAAAACCAACAGCATATAATTTCTGTGATTTTTATGATTATATGTGTTTAAACGCTATTATTTTGTGTGATATACACATTCATAGGAACTTCCAGTATGTCAGCCTTATAAGTTACATTTGTTCAAAAACAAGCTCTCTAAACACATGGTAGTTCTTTTTTTTTTTTTTTAATTTATTGAGGTGATATTGGTTAATAAAATGATGATTTAAGTTTCAAGTATACATTTCAACAATACATCATATGTACATTGCATTGTGTGTTCACCACCCAAAGTTAAATTGCCTTCTGTCACCATGTATTTGACCCCCTTTACCCTTATCTACCATCCCGCTTCCCTGTGGTAACCACTAAACTTGTCCGGTCCGTGAGTCTCTGTTCATCTTGTGCTTCTGTTGCTTTTGGGTAGTTCTTAAATAGTTCTAACAACTGCTTGCTGAATTGAAACAGTTTCACTTTTGCAAATAACATCGAAATATAGATAGCATCGACATATAATGTTTAACTTAAAAGAATGGATCTGAAGTAGATTCTGATAATTGTTATATATGAATAAGGGATTATTTGTGTTTTTTTACATTTGATTGATATGTTTTATTTAATCCTCCAATAAGTTAAATTTCATTAATTTAAATAATTAAGGAATAATGAGATAAATAATGAATCAAGAAGCAGGACTTTTAAAAAAATAATTTCACTTGCATTCTCACAAGAGTGAAGTCTTCCTGATTTGGTTCTTTTTCTATAAAATAAATATAATTATACTCTTTAGTAGTATTTATAGACCTTCATGGACCGAGCTGTTACTCATTTCACTCAGAATTTTCACTCAGCAGCATCCTCATAGGTAGGCATTCAGATACTAACCATTTCATTGATTTATAAGTTAGGAACAAAAAAGGAAGTCAAGCTGCTTAAATCATTTTACAAGAAAATCCTGTTTCTAATAGATATATATTTATTATTATTATTGTTATTATTGTTATTGCTATATATTACTATATAATAGATATTATTATTATTATCACTACTTATACTACTACTATTACTATTACTACATATTACTATGAGGGAAGTCTCTGATAGATATGTTACCATAACATGTCAAACTCGATTGTGAAGAGATGTTATTCTTTTTATAAATGGGGAGAAGTTATGATAAGAGTAACATTCAAAGGAACATAGTTAGGACCATAGAGTTACTTTTTAAAATACATATTCGGTGTCCCACATTCAGATTATCTAGTACTAAATTTGAGCAATGTTTAAAAATTAAAATTAATGCCTTCAAGTGTTCCAGAAAGGTGATAGTTGTTTTTTGAAGACTGTTAAATATGAAACAATTACATATTTTTTTTTACTATAGAACTACATATATTGCACTATTTATAGCTATATGGATATGAATTCTTCAATCTCAGTTGCTGACATAACAATTTATAGTATGTATTTCTATTTTTAAAGCTCCTGATTACTTGAAATACTTAACTTTTTTATTTCTCTAATCTGTATACTAACAGGACAGTCAAACTTTCTGGTCCAGCTGCATAGAAACGCTGGCAACACTTAATTATTTCAGGGAAGATAGTAGTTGTACCTCTTAGTAACAAAGCATAAAAATTAATCAACCTAACTTCCGACTGAGGAAAGTAAAAATGGACTGGTATTTACAGCTGAAACTCTACCATTAAATAGTTGTACCTCCACTTGGAGCTTAGCTGGGATCGCTGGGGGAAAATAAAATCTCTACCACTGAACTTAGATATAGTCACTAAACTAATTTGAAATATAGAATTTCACATTTCTTTCTAAATTTTCTCATCTCTATGTACTGCTTTACCAGAATTTAACACTGTATATGGAGTAATTTAGAAAACATATTTTTACTTACTTTGTTTTTCCTGCCTAGGACAATAGCAGGAGCCTTTTGTCATATATCGTTTCCTATTATCTTCGAAATTTTGATGAGGTAAGACAGTTTTTACATGTAGTCATATTTTGTATTCTTTATTCATAAATGGTTTGGCATTGTTTTTCTTATTTTGCCATCTCTGTTTTTGTATTATTCTTACTTATATTAATGCTGATTTGTTTTAAAAGTATGTGTTTCTTGCTAATTAGGATGCTGGAAAAGAACAGTGTATCTTCCCATTACCAGAACCCCAGGAACTTTTTCAGGCCTCACAGATGAAGTTTGAAGACTTTCAAAAAGATCTCAGAAAACTAAAGAAAGACTTGAAAGGTAACTTATAATCTTAAAGAAATTCATGTTTGTTATTAAAAAGTCAATACAGACTTTTCAATGTTTTTGAAGAAAAAGTCTCTTACAGGATTGTAGAATTAAAAATTATTTGGGTTGGCAAAAGAAAAATATTACCAATAATCTTATTCTTTTATTATTTAAAAAGTTACATTTATTAGAAATTTAGTTATTGAATAGTATTTTGGTTGTTTGAATAACAGTATCTCATCAGGGACAAATTTAATTGTTTTGTTTTTGCTTTAGAGCCAAGAACATCTGTATATTTATCATGTCATTGTTAAAAGACCAATAGTCCCTCTCAACCCTCCCTTGATATACTTGTTCAAAATTTTGTGGCTTTTAAATTCTCCTGGGAACAAAATATCTTCTTTCACATATTTGGTCAAAAAAACACATGCGTGTATGTTTTATTCTTTATCAAATCATTTTGAAGAGAGTCTCAAATTCTTCAAATTTCTAAATTAAAATGAAAATTTACACAAAGCAAATAGTTAACAATTTTTATTATTTTTGTAGTAAAATTCTTTTTATTTCTTTTTCATGAGGTTTCTTATTGTTGTGGAGTTAACACCTCAGCTATCTGTTTAAGCCACTTTCTAATTCTGTTAAGCACAGGCAGGGGATGAATAAGCTTGTGTAATATTTTATTTGATGTTGTATTACTAGATGAAAAGGAGAAGCTTGCTTACCCCTGTTCAGAAACCAAAAAAGATGATATAACTTTTTAAGAGATTCTACTCCAATTTTGAAATAATATTTATCCATATTGATTTATAATCAAATTTATAGAGTTGTTATGTATATTCTGGTCACAGATGCTTTTATATGGATTAAAATCAACACAGTACCATTATATGGATCGCTCGTAGTTCCTAAACATGCAGCAACATTTATTATGTGCCCGATGCATATCCAGCATTTGTAGGTACCAGGGGTACAAAAATCTATAATCATCACTGTCAGAGGATGGAAATCCTGTTGATCAGATGTTCGCCCTTAAAACCCCAACTATAGGTGCTCATTGAGCAAGCCCAGGAATGATCGCTTTGTTTAAAAAAAAAAAATAAAGCTATATTATGTTTATATAATCCTATGATACTATGTATTTACATATGATTTTTAAAGACAATTAAAAACCAACTATTTATGCATAGTATTTATTATACTTCAAAATTATGCCAGGTATCTTGGTTTGCTTATTAAATTCTCTACCCCCTACTTCTGCTCCCACTCTCTCTTTTTCAGTGCTATGGGCATTTCTGGGATATCAGGAAAATATTTCACACGTTGATCAACAATTAAGTCTTGCAAAGTAGGGTTTCATAGTTCACAGTTGATTTGATAAAGGAAAGGGCAGTCTCAGTCCCCGGGGCTTTACATCTGCTCTGATTGGTGTATCGCTTTGGAATGTTTCCTCATCTATTTTTCACATCTACATGCTTTCTTACTATAGTTATTAAATATACATGTAGCCATGAAAATAGCAAGTTCTGACAAGATTTAGAGCAAAACAGAGAGAACTAACACCAGATAATGGGTGTGGAAAGGACGAGTGGCCACTGCACGTTTCCTCCTACACATCTGTCTCCTCCAGCAAGGTGGTAACTGCAGAATATTAAACACTGACGGAGGATCTTAGCAAGTTTCGAGTACCTCAGAGGGTTCAGAAGGTAATGACTTTAACCCAGAGGGTTTACTTTTTCTGTAGGGATAAGACAGACTTCTCTGAAAGGCCCGTTCTTTCAGCGAAGCCCGATAGCGTTTGCTTGCCATAGTATTTTCTCAGGTTTGTCCATAGTTTGTTACAATTTGGTACCTAGAAATAGGTTGTTCTCATGATCAAACGAATATGAGGAATTCTCAATGTTCTCTGAAAGAAGAGGTAGCAGCAGTTCTCTGATTTATTTGACCACAGAGTACTTTTTTTTTTTTTTTTTTTTTTTGCACTTTTTGGTAGGTTTTCTCATC